TTAATTTTATTTTTTAATTTTATTTTTTAATATCGTAGCTGTAACTAGAAAATGTTAACCTTTTCATTGTGAATTGCATTGTATAAATCCACAGCAAAGGATGGATGCCTTTTAATTATAAGTTTTTTTTTAATTTTATTTTTTAATATCAATTTGATTAAGAATTAAACTTAATAATTTATTTTTGTTTACATTTTATTAGATTATTGTCATCTCATAGGTGATTTTACTATACTCCTCATCGCAAAGCGTTATTCATTAGAATAGTATTTTGCTTTATTTTTTTTAATTAATATTTTTTTATTTAATTTTATTCTTTGATATTAATATTTTTATTTATTTATTACACTTTCATAATATAATCTTGCAGCCAGATCCACATTAAAAGCTCTTGGATCTGGTATTACAATCAGACCTTAGCTTTTAGATCTAGTGTTGCAATTAAACTCAGTTACATTTGGGTGATGCAAGTTTAATATTACTATTAATATTAAAAATATTACTATTGATATTATAATAATTATTAAAAATATTATTATTTGTATTATAAATATTATTATTACTATTATAATTAATATTAAAAATATTATTTTTAGATGATGATAGCTAAATCCAAGACTTCTATAATTTTATACATAGATTTAAGGTAATTAAATTTTAATATTTTTTATGCCAAAACATAAAAGATCTTGGAGCCCTATTTCATGGCTAAACAGGGAAACAGGGGACATGTGTTTGCTTTCAGTCAAGAACACCATGTTTACTTTTGTTGATACCTTCACTGTCTGCTTCCAATAATTGGAAAAGGCCACCGAGAACCGCACTGACCCAGAAGGATTCTCATGTCCGTTACTAGCTGGACCAGTTTAAAATAATTCAGGCCCACTCTGCCTGTAGAGACCACTGGTGCGTGTCAGTTCTGTCAAGCCTTTGAAAAGTGGATATTTTCAATTTAACTTTCACGCCCCTTCTACATTATATTTTTATAGATTGACCCCAAAATAATAACGAAAAGGGCCCCTCGTCATCACACGCGATGTACTGGTATGGTAACCATGCGTTGTCGCAAATAAATTTATGAAGTTTGTTTAACATTTTAATTAATTTTTTAAGCTAGTGAAATTAAAATAAATATAGTTTTTTAATTTATTATGTATTTTATAATATTTAATTTCATGTGTGTGTTTTTTTAGCTAAATATATATCATGAATATGTTTGACATTAATTAAAAAAAAAAGACATGCAATCAATTATTTACAAACCTAGACATCTAGTTAGAAGAATAATAATTAAATAAAAAGGCAAGAATCGATAAGGAGAGGGTGTTCCATATTGAAAGAGTGGTTAATTTTAATTAATCATCGAGTTCATAACTATAAAACATTTCGAAGAATCATGGAGAAATGAGATATGATCATCAGCTAAAAAATAATATAAACTAAAATATAATAAATCATTAACTGCCAAATTCTTGTTATTTAAATTTTTTTCCCTTTATATGTTAATCTAGGGTTACGGATAGTTTTTTTTTAAATAATTTATTTTTCTAGTGTTATTATCATTATTTTTTTTAAATATTAATCTTAAATTGATCAATTATCAATCATCAAACTTCAATTATTATTGTAAGATTCTATAATTAATCATTGTTTCTATGAGTTTTCATGAAGAATCATTATTTTTTATAATATTAATGGTTATTTTTTTCTAGCAATTTTTAAAGAATAATAAATAAAAAATTCAAAATTATAAAAAATAATCACTGTTTTTTATTAGGTTGTGTGAAAAAAAATAATTATAAATTATTTAGAGAAAATTGATATTGAGAAAATATAAAATAGCAGATAACGAAAAAAGAAAGAAAGAAAATTTACAAAAAGAAAAGAAAAGCCTGACAAGCACTATAGGCTTGATGGCAGCTAGGCCTTAGCAGCTAGGCTGCACACTTCCAGCCCGAGACATTAAAAAAAAAAAAAAAAAAAAACGATGGACGAAACGATGCCTGCGAAGCCACCAATAGCATGACAACAAAACTAGTTAAAAAATATATATTTAATCAAGATGTGTGAAGCTCATCTTAATAATATTTATATTAATTAAAAAATTAATTAAAAAATATAAATATAAATATAATACCCCATTATTTTTCATGCGCATTTATCATTAAAAAAACTGTGGCCGTTGTTTTTGACCCTACACACACCATTTCAAAGGCATCCTAAGACCATCTCAAATAAATGTATATATTTTAAAACACGTTCTAATCAGCCCTAAAAATCTAAAATACCAAACTCTCCCGTCTCCTACCCTTTCTCTCTGATGTCCCTACATCCAGGGACCTTATTGTAATACAAATAAAGTTTAGAGATTGTTTAGTGCAAACCTAGGAATTCCATAACCAATGTAAGAATTAAAAAAAAACACTCACTTGGGTTTTTTTGGAAAGCCGACGTAGTTTAAAGCTAGAAAAAAGCCTTAAACAGCAACCTTTTGTCCACTGTGGGAAGGCTTGCCTAGGGCGAAACCCATTTTATTTTGGCTTTTTTATAGTATAATTAGAGGGCGGATCTCCCAAAAAGGCCAAGTTGAAACAAAATTGAATCACCCCATGCTGGATATATACACGAAGTGCTTGATGTAATATGGAAGCTCGTGATGGAAGAGCTTGCTTCTTGTGCATGGTAATTTCTTTCTTTGCCCAAGAAAATAAAATCCAAGCTTCTCCCTGCCCAGGAAACAATTCCCTCGGACTCCACCCTTCAACAATGATTCTAGGTTTCCAATAATGAAAGCTGATAGTCTTGTGAGTCGAGTTGCTTCGAATGCAAGGAAGGGCTGGTGAAGCTTCGTTTTTCGACTAGGAATTCATAATTAAGTGTATTTTAATCAATCTTCTTATGTATATTTACAAAAAATGAAATATTTCCTGTAGAGTTGACATCATTAACCATTTCAAGTTTAGTTTAAAAATGTTTTTCTCGGTGAGGTAGAAATAGGGAGAGCATTGCATTTTGAGTTCGACTTTTCCTTCTTCTTTTCCGAGGCATGGATTAAATTAACTCTTGATAACATGGTTAATAATTCATAAACTCTTTAGCCCCGAAGAACCATCTTAGTGACCGACCAAACAGACTTTGAAACGGGGATGGTTTCGAGCCATGGTGCGATATAGTCAGCTTGAGTTCGAGACTTAACCCTAATAGCTCAAAGTTCAAACAACCTGAGTGATATGTTCGAAACCACTCTTTTTTATTTTTTTCTCTTTGGACCCCAGCCTATCTACATTGTTTCCTAATTTCTCATGGACCCCCGAGCTACCTATCCGAATTCCATTGATAAGTTTTTTACATTGATTCTCCTTGATTGATATATGAACATCAAAGTGTTCTTGTCTTTGCATGTTTGTATATTTGACGTTAGCAATCAATTCCTTTCTCTTTTCTGCCATTATTGGACTCTGATAATTTACAGTAGTGAAAGCTATTCCTGGACCATCTGAAACTTTTATAATATTTATCTTCTCCTGTACAGTCCAACCTTCGTCACTAAAAAGAAGAAAGAGCTTAATCTTAATTCTTTGTAATATATTAATTATTGGAAAGAATTTAAGAATTTAAGATTTATAATATTCTTTGTTTTGAAAGAATTTAAGATCTATTCAAAAGAGATAAAACATGAAAATCAGTTGAATTAAATATTAATTAATTAATGACATAAAACAAAAAAATGCTACAAGTTAATTAGATGAGCACAAGAAATATATATATCCTATTCAATATTGATCTAGCTAGCTAGCTGGGTCACCATGGGGCAGATGAGTAATTTACTTTATTTTTTTTTAAAATCACATACATAAAAATTTTTAAAAGTCACAGAGTAATTAATAATTAACCCTTTGCAGTATGATAAATAATAAATCTAATGAGAAGCGATTAAGCCGTGGCCTTGCAACACTCATATATTATTGCGTATGTTAACCTATACAATCATCATCTGTCACTCGCATGATCAATGCTGCTTATCGTTTCTCGATTTAACAAGCAATCTTAATTTTAATGTAACATTAAAAGGTGAAAAAAGGTGATCAATGGGCACAAGAGAAACAAGACAATTGTCAACATGTTGTTCTTCGTCAATGGTCTCCCTCGCCAATCAAATCACCTCAAACTGCCCCAAAAATGTCCCCAAATCTCCTCAATCGGCACTTCACATGCAGGGGTTGGTTTCTTGTCAGAGTTTTTTATTTTTTGAAGTGTTGTAATTGTTATTTTTAAAAATATTTTTTATATTTAAAAATTAATTTTAACATTAATACATTACAATAATATACAAATATTAATTTAAAATTAAAAATTAAAATTTTTTAAAAGTATTTTCTAACCACCTATAATATTTCCCGTATTAAATCGGTTACTTCCCTTTTTATTTATTTCAATTGGAAAAGCAATCTAATTTTTTATTGTTTTTTTAATTTTTAATTTTATTTTTACTAATCTAAATCCAACGTTCTAAACTAATTGTTTCATCGTATTCAATCTTGAATAACTAACACATATCTTTAAAAACGTAATTTACTGCTTAAATAAAATGTAACCAACGTATTAATAATAAAATCTGGATATTTGGGAATATTAACTATAAATGAAAGTTGGGCCCATGATACTCTGTTAAAAACTTAAAACAACCTTTTAGTAATGAAACACAATATTTAGGGATCAGATTAGTAAATGGAAAGATACAATCTGGATTAAAAAATTCAAAATAATTAAGAGTTAGTGAATGCATAATACTTTTAAAAAATATTTTTTATTTAAAAATATATTAAAATAATTTTTTATTTAATATCAATCCATTAAAATTACTAAAAACACTAAAAATATATAATATTGTTTTAAATAAAAATATATTTAAAAAACACATAAAACCACGTCTGTACGATTTGGGGTTCTTCAACGATGAAATCAAAGCAATCAATGAAACCCCGATAAAAAAATCTTCCACCGTCAGATGAAAAAAAACTCAATAACTCCAAATCTCCACCGTCTGATAAAAAATTCTTATCTCCATAATTGTTAATTCACCTAACTTGGTAAACCATAGCAGCTGCAGCCAGTGGATTATACATATAGGATTCGTTCACTGGCTCTCTATCTGAAATTCACTCACTCTATCTCTATAGAAAACAAGGTAAGCAAAATGGAAAAGGTTTTCTCTTTCTCTTATGTTTTAGTTTATTAATTATGATTTTGTATCGATTTAATCGCATTTTTATGTTTGTTTTTCATTTTTGTGCAAAGCCCTAATGGAAACATGTTAAAGTTGCTTATTGAGATCTGAAAGTTTCAATTTTGGTTTTTGTATGAATTGGTTGTTATATAAAGTTATGATTTTTGTGTGGAAGATGGAAACTTTGTAATGAGTGTTTTTTCTATTATTATTATTGGTTATGCGATTGGCTGTGATGGTTTTGAAATTGGTTTTGTGTTTTGATGTTGTGGGTTTTATGTGATTGAAGGTTTTGAAGGAAAAAAAATGGAAAACGGGGTTGAGAGAGTTGTTGTGGAAGAGAAAACCAATGTGGGAAATGAAGGTTTTGGGGACAAGGTAGAGGAGGAGAGAGTTGTGGTGGGGTCTGATGAGTCAAAGGATTTGGGAGATGAGGCTTTTGAGGAGGCAATTGAATCACATGAGCAATTGCAGGAGGAGGAGGGAATGAAAGTTGTATCAGACGGTGCTGTTTCTGAGAGTGTTGGCGATTCGATTTCAGCAGTTGTTGATGAGAGCTCAAATTTAGGAAACGAGACAGAGAAACTTGAAGAGGCTATTTTTATTCCTG